TACACAATTCTGATTTTTATATATTTATAGCAGAAATATTTACTGAATCGGGTCGGTAAACTTTTGAATAGATTGTCTTCATTTGGATTTTCGATTTCTATTGGAACTGGCTTGTGTCTTACTGCTTTATATATATATATATATATGATAAAATGTGATAACAGAGGAAGTTAAAGATAGTGAGCTCTAAGCTTGAGGTAGATAACTTTCCATTAGATAAAATTTGCGGACGTTCTAGAATATGATCATATGATATTAAATGCGCTCTAAAATAAGACATATGTTATTGTAATGAAGGCATACAAAGCAAAAAGGCCCATTTAAATTCGGAGTGAAATATTTTTGACCCATTATGTATAAGAATAAATTTAATTTATGAGAAATATCAAATTTTCTGTCAATAAAATGCCGAGATTAGTAACTATTCAGGGCGCTACTTGCCATGTTTTATATCGGATGCCTAATCTTCCGTCTAATCGTTGATTCCCCAAATACTGATAAAAGTTGGAGCTTAGAATACTATCTGATATCCTGCATTAGCCATGCTTTCAGCCACCTCTGAATTATGAATCCAGAAACCTTTATAGATTTGTGTTCATACAACCTCTTATTGATGGGCCGAAAAGTCTTATCTATATAGACTTTACTGTATAAGCACAAGACTTGATCTGCAGAAGGGGGCCGAAGAGGCTCTAGAAGAAGGTATAACAGGGATGCTAGTCTCTCTACGCAGGGCCAGAAGGTTAATTTCCTAAGTAATTTTCCTGTATTGTTCGAAATATTTTACGACAGGAGTAATAATTGCACCAATCTCTATTTTGCCCAAAATAGTTGCCTTCTTCATCCTATTTCATAATAATCTTAAATAATTGACAATCCTAATTGATAATTTGTATGAATTAAAGTCACTCTAATTTTTAATCCTAGTGATTTACATTAGCCAACCGTAAACTTATGAGAAAAACAACTTAGTAAAGGCTATAACAACTAAACAGACAATTTATTCTTGGATGGAATTTAAAATAGCATAGCAGGAACAAGCTTGCCTCAGGCGTTTTAACACTTCCAACGGACTGTTTTCCGGAACCAGAGGTCTCAAATTGGTTCAGCTTCCTTGGGGTCCGATTACCCAGGTCTACATGACGATCTAAAGAAGCGGTTGTTGTTGTTACCATGCTTGGGCCAGCAGGCGGAAGCCGCATTGGAGGAGCCCTATAGTCAGGATCTTCATCGACCTGCCTACGCCGGGCATGACGGCAGTGATGATGATGGCTATGTCGACTATGGTGACGTTGGTTACGATGGCGGCGGTAATGATGGAAATGCGGTCCAAACTGGCGTGGAATGCTGACCTGCCACTGGCGCACTCTGCTGGGAGAGTTTTCTTCATGTGAAACAGGCATATTGGCTGCCAAACTCCGTCTACGAACCGACTCGCCTGGAGGACAAGAAGCAAGTGGTTCTGCTGTGGCAGATGATGACTCCGAATTCGTAGATGAAACTGGCAAGGCAGCTAACTGGAGGCGGGCCATCACAATGGCTTGGCTAGCACGAACTGCAGCCATCCGGCGTGATTGAGTCCGTCGGGTTGGCGCTTCAATTGCATTTTCTTTCAAATTTGATGGATCAACTGAAGCTACCAGTGAGGCCACCATCGACTCTACCAAAGAATTAACAGTTGACATCTGTTCTGCCTCATCGGGACCACACTGCGTCGAGTCCTGTGTTAAGATTTCGGAGTCAGTCGGAATGCTGCTGGCAGGAACATCAGTGTTTTCTGCGCTATGATTAAGAGGTACAGGGATTTCATGGATGCCTTCATCTGACCAGATTGGACGTATTGGGCTAAGATCTAACCGAGTTGTATTTGAATCAGAGATGATTGGTTCAGTTGAGGATGAAGTAGTAGAAATGGCGGAAGTAGCTTGATATAATGAGTCATTTCCAGTCTGTAACTGAGACTGGTCCGCTTGGGTATTTTCCTAAGTGTGTAAGAATATGCATTTAAGCATTCAACACATATTTAAGCGCTCATATGAAAGGAATATGGAGAAGAAGGGCAGAACAAAAGATAATTTTTAATGATATAATCTTGAAACCAAAAGCAGTAGATCATACAAAATTTTACTCAATACCAAATTACTCCCGATCAACGTAAAGCAGATTTACATATGGTCTCATCTAAGCGTAATACACTTATAAAATGTAGGTTTTTATAAGTCAGGAAAGAAATATTTTTAATAATCGTTGCTCACGAAAACCTTGCTCTATCCGCTCTGCTCTGGGCGAATTTCGTGACAGATAATATCAAGACCCATTTAATTTTGTGTTCCATATCCTCACGAAAAGTTATTGCCTTTTGAACTAACCCCAATCGTATACTAGTTTAGAATCAAGTTATATGCAATAGTAGCTAGAAGAGAAAATTAAATCGGTTTGGAATAGCATCGGTCCCATTATACCTTACAGAAGGAGGAATTAAAGCTAAGGAGAACCTGGGGTTAAGGCCAAAGTTGTTATCTCTGCAGGAATATAGAATTCACATAAGTTATGTTGTATCTATAAATAGAAGTACACCCGAACAATGAGAAATCTGCTTTTTGGAGACTCATACACTTATATATATATATATATCTCGGTAAGAACGAGGTGATCTCTAGTCCTTCAAATGACAGCTTCTCTTAGGGCAAAATAAAGTATGAAAAAGATAAAAAGAACAAGCTTATGCTTCTAGATATACCTAAAAGTTGTAGATAAGAAGAATGGCTGGTTTTCAATAAAGCTTATAAGATAAAAGTGAAGAAACTGTCATCTCGAATTAGCTAGTTGATCTCACCGGAAAGCGACGGCTGATTACCGATTTTCTGCAGCTGTTTAGTTTCAATAGGACGATCAGGTTGACGCGTTCCAAGGAAAAAA